AACTTGGCTGGCGCATGCTCTCCCCATCATAATTTCATATATTTTATATATCAAAGGGCGGAAGTGGTGTAGTGGCAAGTGGCACGCTTACCACGCGAGCGGTCCGGGGATCAAATCCTGGGTCGTGAGTCGCCCGGGCCAACCAAGCCTTCCATCCCTCCGGGGTCGGTTAATTGGTACCAGACTTGTCTGGGAGGATAAAAACACTGACTTGTACATCGGCTGGCCCCCGCAAGTCATTGTATAGGCCACATCGCATTCAAACGCCACTACGAATGTACAAATGGAAGTAGAATGCGTGCCGCATCCCAAAAAGGGATTGATCAACGGCAAATGCTTTATCCTTTATCCTTTTCAAGTGACTTTCAAGAAAATATGATACTCTACTTGACTATTTCAGGGCTTTCTGATGCCTATTCGATGCTGGCATTCAAACGACCGGAGAATATGTTGATAGGTTCAGTGTCACTGGTACATGTCAGTTAACACCCTGTTTCTGTTAATCCGCGAGACTTGTCGCAGTTGTAGGCACATTGGGTTGTCTCATAACTCCTGTCTCAATTTCGACACTTTTAGATAAGATATTATTGAGCTATCCCTGAGCCTCATAAATCGTATATCTTCTCTTTGAAATTCTCGATGAGGACTCTTCTAATATAAGATTTATTGGTTAGCTTTCGCTGTAATAACAGCTTCTTCAGACCTACAAGAAACATCAGGTATATTACAATACTTCAAATATAAGAAACATCAACATAACAACCATCAACTGACCAGGCCGATGCTCTCGTTAATATTGATATGTGGGAGAAACCATGAGTCTGTACAAGAATAGATGAACATATGCGAGCGTTGCGAAACCCTTCGTCTTACCCAAGCAATGGTTTTTCGCGACATCGTACGCTTTACCATGGACAAGAACCGCCTCCATCAATAAAAGTCACTGTGCTACACCGCTATAAAGAAGCCTCCTTGGAAAGAAAATTGTTAGAGGCACTCGCTATCAAGCGACTGTCTCCAGAAATAAACAACAGAGAGGAGCTCATGGAGGCATGAGACTTTTGAGTTAACGGTGGATAAGAGTCAGTATTGTAAAGTAGTCACGTACTGCTCATTGCCAGTGGTTTTTATTTCGTTAGCAACTGCACTAGGGTGAGGTGATCTTCCTTTTGTTGTTGTCATTGTCCTGGTTTGTACAATAGCCTGACGACGATCTTGAATTATTGCCTTGCAGAATACCCCATTAACGAGAGCATCGGCCTGGTCAGTTGATGTTTGTTATGTTGATGTTTCTTATATTTGAAGTATTGTAATATGCTTGATGTTTCTTGTAGGTCTGAAGAAGCTGTTATTACAGCGAAAGCTAACCAATAAATCTTATATTAGAAGAGTTCTCATCGAGAATTTCAAAGAGAAGATATTCGACACTTTTGTTTATCCAAGTTTTATCTCTTCTAGGAAACAACTGATCAATAACATAACCACCATCATGGTCACTGATATGCGTGCATTTGCTAGTGAGCGTTTGGAAGCTTCCAGCCCAGAATGAAGGAAGCTGGGGGTTGAAGAATTTGGAGAAGTCGTTTTTGGGGTGGTCGCAATCTTTAACTTTCTTCTCTGGCAGATGCTTATTCAGGGCGCAGGGGAGGCGATAGTCCGATAGAGCGATGCCAATGCTATATGGTGGATGAGGTATCGTGGCCCTGGCTATCTCCCTCAGAACGTGGTGAGTTGGCATTGCAATGTGAGGTCTGGCGTACATTCGGAGAAAGGAGAATCTGAGACGTTTCTGACGATTCCCTCGCAACCCCGAAGCCAGCTTAGAGGGCTATTCCACGCTGGCTTTAGCCCAAACAAGAAAGGAATTTCAAACAGTCGGCATGCAAGATGTTTCTTTATTCTTTGCCGCAGCAATGACTAATTCAAACTTTGCATTTCATGAATTTTAATTTCTGAGGGCGAAATAGTTTGATGAAAGAGGAGTTTCAAGACAACGCCTATGGATATAAGCTGCCACAGCAACCAATAATCTTCACGATGAAAACCTATTACAATAAAAGTCCCTTTTTTCAAATATTCACTCATCCTCCACGGAGAGTCAACCGTGACGTTGTGCCGATTTCAGAAGGGACATTGAGGGGGAGGAGTGTGGGGGTGGGGGGGGGAGCGGATGCAGAATAGGTGCTCAAATTCCGCCTGATTCGCCGCAATGATCCCGGGAGTCAACCTTGTGACGGTTTTGTGGGCCGATTTCAGGAAGGAATTGAGGGGCGGAGTGGGGGGGGGGGGAGCGGATGCAGAATAGGTGCTCAAATTCCGCCTGATTCGCCTCTTTCGCCTTTTCGTAGAATTTTCGCAAAATTGTCAAAGACACTTTGAAAACCACATCAACATACTCTCTCCCACCCTTCAATGTCACCGCGTCCAGTCGCCTCAAGTTCCGCCACCACGACCCCTTTTGCAAATCTCAAATACGACCCTCTCCTTACCATAATACCACAAATTACAATATATGAAGCCAAATATGTGACCTTTTTGATTTTTGCTCAACGTACGGTTGACTCTTCCTGCAGCTGAATGTTCCGTATGCTGGTTATTTCAACAGCGGTTGGTTTGCTGACTTGTGAAAGAGAAAGTGAGTAAAAGTTTCATTTGCCTTTGAGAAAATGCCATTGTAAAATTGTTAAGAGTAGACTCTCCACTCTGGAAAAATATTTTGAACTGCACCACACACGCCAACTTTTATTTAAATTCTTGAAACACTATAGAGCGACTTGTGTACGAATCGACCTGTGAAAATTATACGGATGAAGGAGCCTTTTTGGATTTTTCCAAGACCGCTAAGGAACCATCAACCTCCTATCTGTGTTTCATGCATGTACAGTAGTGGCCAGAAATTTATGAACAAACGGTTTTTTCATGATTTCTCTTTTGAAAGTCACTGGAACGTCTCCAAATTTGCAACAATTATTAACTACGTGTTTTATGATCCACACAGAAAATTTCAACCTTCAGCTCAAATTTGGGTTTAGAAAATTTTAGATTTTTCGAAATTAATGAAGGCAGGTGAAAGATCACTTGATCCGTTTATTTGATTTAAATAATGTATAACCCAACAGAACAGTCAAGTAAACAGTCACTAACATTAAGCAAGTCTAGCACATTGCCCAGAACTCTCTAAAGTATTGGATACATAAACTGGATTTGAATGCGGGGTCAACTAATGAACTCACTCTCTAGTGGGGTCTCTCTCTGTAGTCCCGTCTTTTCGTGGCTCTTTCATTGACATACGAATTTGTAGGTCCTCCCCTAGTGGTTCTGTAATGTTTGGCTCAAGAGTCTGGCCTGGCTGGTCTTTTAAAAGCACCCATGCTGTCGAAACCACTCCTGCATGTGAGAGGCCCGATGCTTTGAGTCGCTGCTCTGCCGACAGACAAAGTCAGGTCGGCGGCAGCCATGCCTACGGATACATGACACCTTCCAAAACATGACAGCAAACGTCTGCCTTCATCGCTACCTCAGTCGTGTAGCGTGGTCCCACTTTTTTCCAAGGCAACCTTATCAAGCCTCCGCCAAGTTTCACAATTGGCAGCTGATTCTTTGGATCAAAACGTTCCCTCTCGTGGTGCCGTACATTACTAGTATCCTTGCTGTCATGCATCAGTAATATGTTTTTGTCATTCCAGATGACCTTAGAAACCTGTATCAACCTTCGTTTCAGGCTTAGTCAATCACATTCTACTCCCACCCACTTCACAGCGAGCGCTCTTCTTAGACTTTGAGAACTAAGGAATACGTAGTATAGACTTAGATTCTAGAAGATGTTATGTATCCGTAGACATGGCTGCCACACGACCTGGCTTTGTCTGTCAGCAGAGCAGCGACTCAAAGCATCGGGCCTCTCACATGCAGGAGTGGTTTCGACAGCATGGGGTGCTTTTAAAAGACCAGCCAGGCCAGACTCTTGAGCCAAACATTACAGAACCACTAGGGGAGGACCTACAAATTCGTATGTCAATGAAAGAGCCACGAAAATACGGGACTACAGAGAGAGACCCCACTAGAGAGTGAGTTCATTAGTTGACCCCGCATTCAAATCCAGTTTATGTATCCAATACTTTAGAGAGTTCTGGGCAATGTGCTAGACTTGCTTAATGTTAGTGACTGTTTACTTGACTGTTCTGTTGGGTTATACATTATTTAAATCAAATAAACGGATCAAGTGATCTTTCACCTGCCTTCATTAATTTCGAAAAATCTAAAATTTTCTAAACCCAAATTTGAGCTGAAGGTTGAAATTTTCTGTGTGGATCATAAAACACGTAGTTAATAATTGTTGCAAATTTGGAGACGTTCCAGTGACTTTCAAAAGAGAAATCATGAAAAAACCGTTTGTTCATAAATTTCTGGCCACTACTGTACCTCTAAGAACCTTCCAAAAAACACCCAACAGGTCCGAAAAAACTTCTGAGCACCGAGGAAGAGCATAGTGAACGCACCAGGGTCAATTTTTGGGAAGAATTTGGAAATGGACGCCCCCCCCCCGGTCTGCTGAAGTCCTCAACATGACTCCCTTTCACGACCGTGATGTCCAGTGATTCACATTGAACCCGAATTTTAAACTCTGCTCCAAAAACTCGAAAACCATTTCCGGAGTGGCAAAAGTATAATAAAGATCGATTTAATATGATTGCCGAAACAGCAAAATGTTGGAAACTTTTCAAATTTCGCGAGAATTCTACCTCTCAGGTATCTGCTTCCTTCCTTACTAACTAAAAATATGACCTCCTTACCTAGAATCACAAAATACGACCCACTTCTTGGAATAATCCCAGAGGGAAGGTTGACCCTTGTTCCAACTCCTGAAATTATTGCATTACCCACCGAAAAATCTAACCGTTTTTAGCTCTTCACAAATCAACGGCGTTACACATTTCAATCTGAATGATTAGTATTTTTATCCCATACTTCATCATTCAATCGATTAGTTGTTTAGAGACCTGCGGAAAGAACGAGAAGTGGTACCCATATGGGATTGTTGATGCGATCTGCAATCGCAAATTCTACATAATACCTCATAAACCACATCCTCCAGCATGTGGATGCAAAAAAGGCTTCAAACGAGGAACGAACGGATGTCGGCGTCGTGGTATCGGCTGCAGATGACAGCGGAAAGACTCATCACTTATTCAATTCATTGATTCCTATTTTTTGCTAGAATAAAAGAAATTCTACCAATGTTTAATGGTTTTACATTCCAAGGCTATCCGGATGTGGCTCTCAGGACCTAGAAATTGCAACGATGTACTGAAGCTGACAATGAGTCAACTAACACGCGGCATCGTCACGGCTCATCTTCCAGAGTTGTTCACCCTCTACCCAACATCGGGTCAAAGGCAAACCCCGCGATTACCCCGACTAGTAGGAAGGATATCGCGAGGGAAATTGTGAGATCTGATCCTACATAGATCACTCCAGCTTCCTAGCAGAAACTGCGCAATTAGGGCGCTAATCTTTACGAGGCTGCAACCATCGACCCCAACTGCAACGCTCTCCGCCCACCGCGATTGATGTATCGACCAGCGTGCATTTGCGAACGGACGTGCCTCTTGCGAGTGACCACTCCCACGTAACTGTGGTGTTAATTATTAAGCTTCCTCAATGATTTCTCTTGCTCCCCTTTTCACTTTCAATTCCCCCGCACCTCAGTCATCACTACAAAGTGCCCTTATACACCAGTTTTATTCCGGAGTTGCCTTTAATGAATGCGAACCGTGTACGTATGCCGAGAGGAGACGGCACATGCAATCATGAGAGGGCCTCGACGCGACCCCGCTACCACATGGCCCTCGCCGTGTAGGTACCTAAACGAGATAGAGCCAACCAATGAGATGTCCACACGAATGAAGTTCAAACCCCGACTTAGCAATTGGCGCGCATAGGACTGCAATGATTTATCACCGTTGTTCACTTTCTTTCACCACTGATAGACTAATCACCACCACTACTAAAACCTGAGTTCAATTTATCAATGCTGCATCTTTCTAAATATTAAAGGAATCCTTCGCGGAAAATTCTTGCACTCTTTTTCAACATGAATGTGTCAGTTGTGATCACTGGAAACAGCACACAAAGTTTCACGCATGAAGATTCGGTTTCCGAAGAGAAACAAACGTACAAAAACTACACTTATGGACAATCGAAGGTAATTCGGGCGGAGCCAAAGGCGAGGCATGAAGTTGGTTGGCCGGCTACGTATCAGGCGACGCAATGAAAGAATCGGGTTAAAGCGCGCGATTTCGGAGAGTAGAGACAAATCGATCGATAGAATAGGATGGAGTAGAAGTGTAAGATGTGAATGCAATAAAGCAAAGGCCAGAAAGAGTTTCTAGTGAAGGCACTCCAAGAACCAAGTGGAAGCTGTTTTCGTCCACCATGATCTCATATCACCGCGAGTGAGCTATATAAACCTCATTCGTGGAGTAAGGTTCACTTATTGAGTTTACTGTTCATTTGCTGCAAATAAAGGATTCCTGAATCGACGGCGGTTATTCACAACATGGCGACCACGGCAGCGGAAGTAAAGAAGAAGCAAGAAGACACCGGAGAATCCAGTATTATCACGCCAAATTCTTCGATCCAGAAACCAGTATACACATCGTCCAATACACGTGAGTATGACTATATTCAATGTGTATAGTATGACTATTCGGTCTATCTCCGCAGGATATGCTAGGAGCTATGCAGTTCAACTACTTTGACGCCGCACTTCTTTCGCGTCCAGACATGCTCAGCTTCTCCGGAAATCTTCTTGAGCTTCCCACATTTGGTTAAGATACAACACCTTAGTCCATTCGAAGACAGCTCGATCGAAATTACCCAAAATTTTTGTTGCTCAGAATCTGTTTTAGAGGACAAGCACTAGACTCTATCGGATCCCGATGATAGACGAAGGCTACGATACGGCCATCGATAGTCTACACCACATGTATGACAACCCATCGGCCTTCGTCACCTTATCTACAATGAGTTAGCAAATCTACCGCAATATGATTAAGAAGGAAGGCAACTCCAGAATATTTACTTGAAAATGTTACGGCTTGTCAGAAAATATACATCCATCACTCCAAATTCATCAGAATTCAGACTTGGAGCTCTCCTTTACAATAAACTCCCCCGATTTGTTCAGTCAAGAATCTACGATGCAACCAACGGACATTTCGGACATCACTCCAACTCAATTGGTGGACCTCCTCTCGGATGTAGTGAGAAAAGAAGCTATTCTGAAGCAGGTCGAATGTATCACCCGCTATCGTTCCTGACCCTACAACTATGCTCGAACCTTCGTATCAGGAGCTGCAGAGAGAATTCAAGAGCCGTCCTCACCGACGTACATTCGCCAGACATTTTGCACTTTTTGCTTCAGAACGAACCATGACACATTCCAGTGCAGAAATTTCAGCACATCAGAAGAAAGGCGTGAGCGAGCTCGGGAAAATGAATTATACTTCAAATGTCTGCGACCGGATCATAAAACGAAATCATGTAAACAACCGCCCTGCAATATCTGCAGCTTCAACCATCACCTCCCTTTGCTATCATTCAAGGCCACCTACAAAACAAAACCTTATCAGAAAGGAATACCAATAACTTCCAAGAACAACTTGCATTTCCGAAGAATCATAACCAACGATTGGTCGAGAGGAACAAAAGATGTTCGCTACAACTCCAATCGATTCCCAGACGACAGAAAACTCAAGCAAGCTCGCTCCCACTTAAGCTAGTGAATTTCTCCAGGCATGTGACAGAGAATAACACTAGAAATGAAAACGAAGAAGATATAGAACCAAATTTTGAGAACGATCGCTGTTACACCGCACCATTTCTACTACAACTAACTAGGATGAAGAAAACGATTGTCAACGAATGATAAAGAAGAACTCCGACGAAAGTATGTCAAAGCTATAGAGTTGAAGCGTCGACTGGAACAAGGTCCAAAATCGACTATTTTTATCATGACGACTCCTTCAATGAAACCAGATCTTGCATCAAAGCAAACGATTCCCGCGGTACAAAACTTCCACTCAACATCAAGCCGCCAGATGCTGTGGAAGAGCACCAATATAATGTCGTAGGTTCAATGTCAAAGGCGAGATTAAAAACTCTGAAGTCCAAGAAAAGATGCAGCGAAAACGACAAAAAAAATGCTCAAGCACGCAGTCCACAACATTCGCAATCTAGAGATAGTAAGAGCAAGATCAGAATCCCAGCCAGACCACAGAAGACAACAAGAGAAAAAACAAAGAAGAAGAAGACGACGACGAAGAAGAGCCCGATATGAAACATTTTCGCTTTGATAGAAGCATCAACTCAGCCGAAAGAAAACTGAAAACAATCAAACTAAAAACCAAAAAGGAGACACTTCTAAGACACGACTGGAAAGAGAAATTCGACATAGACAACGTCAGAACGTCACAAAACACAAGAGCAAGAAAACGAATGCTCAATCGAGGAAGTGTAGAGAGTTTGAAAAGGGACGAGGAAGACGAGGAAGGAAGTGGGGAAAGATGAAGAAATAAAAAAAAGAGAAGAAAAAGGAAGACGAATCGACTAGATCGAAAAGGAAGAAGATGGATGATAAGTGCGAGAAGAGCGGTTGTAACGTGAACATCAAGGCGAGTACTGCCACCAGTCCTTTTTTCGGGCGGGAGCGTTTTCGCCCACCATGATCTCATATCACCACGAGTGAGGTATATAAACCTCATTCGTGGAGTAAGGTTCACTTATTGAGTTTACTGTTCATTTGCTGCAAATAAAGGATTCCTGAATCGATGGCGGTTATTCACAACAGAAGCATCCCCGTCGCCAGCATTTGTGAAAGACGTCCGTGGGCACTTTGAACGCGTAGCAGCCCTTTCGATTTTTCGAATTTTTTACCAAAACAAAAGCAATATTTCTGTTCTTTTCATTCTTATCGTGGATAATGAGTCTCAAGCCAGTGATTTATGGCTGAAATAGAATCATGATTTTTCCGCGAAGGATTCCTTTAAAAAAGATCGTACTCTCTATTAATAGAAATCCCATCTCTTGAGTGTTATAATTCTATGATTTTGAAAATCTCTCTGAAAAATTGTGTTCTTTGACATTTGCAAGCATGCACACTCGCCCAGTGACATTCCAGACGGGCCGACTCTCCTTATCAGTTCTTCTCGCATTGCTTCCCGAATAGCTCTGACACGACCCTCACTCCACTGATTTCACATTCCAGAACTCGATCGATCTACTTCAATAGAGCTTCTCATTTCTGCACTAGATTACTCTTTCACAGTCTTATTTTTATCAGGCAAAACGAGAAACACCGTTGGTGACTTTGCTTTCCATAACAAATCGCTTGTTCGAAGGTTCCATAACGTTTTTTTCCTTTGTGAAAACTTTTTAAAACTCAACCTCACCCAGCCGCTTCCTAGGAAAGCGACCAATCATGGTAAAATATAAATCGACCAGGCCTGTTTCTGGAACACGATATGAAATTCGAATTTCATCCAGAACAACAGCTTTTTGGGCGTAGAACACATACATATAACACATTATGGGAAACAGCTGATCCCCAAACCAGTGCTACAAGCTTCCCAGGGAAGCATAGCGTCAATTAGGCCACAATTACAACCAGAGTCACCCGTCCAGACAGTTCCAATGGAATTTGTATTTGCTATTTTCGGGACGATCTGTGATAGTTTTTTTATTTGTTCATTTTCCGTATTTATTTCACATTTTTTTACTTGTTCTTGACGAAAATGCATGAAATGGGCGAAATCGGAAGAACTCTCGTTTTGTGGGCTCTATTTACTTCTCTTCGTCCCACCCCCTCGCTCCACCGCCATTCCGTAGGAAGTTAGAGTATGTCGCTTGACTGACGTATTTGTGGGTGACCTACTTCGTCGTATCGGTACTCCCACCTCGTGACCGAAACAACCACACGTAACTTGCTGGAGACGAAGAATACGGCATGGAGGCTTGGGCTGGGCAAAATAGGGTAAAGCGTTTGGTTCCAGCACCACTATGTTGCAATGCCACACTAAGTTTGGTTAAAAAAGCCTCTTTTGTATGGCTGTCTGCTATTCGCCCAGGTTATTGAAGATGGATGAAAAAACAAAATGAAATAGAAC